TATGGACAAGGATGAATTTTGCCCAAATCCTTTTTACAGTAATAGGGATTTTACAGGGACTTGTTCATTAGCTCTTCCTCTTCCAGTGCTCTTCCCTCATCCCCTTAAAAAGAAAAAAAAAAGCATTAATGTTACTAGTGGTGAAACTCCTACCTGTGAGCACAGTTGTTGGGAGTTCTCCTGCAAATGAGACTTCTGGCATTTTTATATCCTCTATTATTGAGGGCAGCCTTAGGACCCACACAGTCAAAACAGCATCTGCCCAAATGAGAGCAGTGAGGAAGTTTAAGGAAGAAATACACTGTGGATGATGGCTTTGTGTACAGTTCTGGCATGGTGCCAAAAACGGTATCACTATAGCTCTGTGATGATATTGTAAACAGTGTCTGCCTTTCCCTTCTCAAACGTCTTTTCTAAGACTGTCTTTGTTCCTGATCTCTCTTACATGTGTGCATATATATGTCTGTCTTATATATAAAGAGATTGCACACCAAATAATTATTCATTTTATATCCCAGCCCTTTAAAAACATATCATGTGTTGTAGCTTTTGAGTTCCAGTGAAAACATCAAATCAGATCTAAGGCATAGCTGTAGTTTTGCAAAAATAGTCACCATGTAATAGGATCAGGACTGTCTCTTGAGACATTTGTAACAGACATATTTTATATTTAAACCCAAATTAATAAATGTCACTACATGGGGAGGGAAAAAATGAAGCATCAGCATTTTCAGTTGCTTCATGTATTATTTTGGAATTGAGGAAAGGCCCCAAGTGGCATAGAAGTAAACATTCATCTAACTTATTTGCTGTATAATTCGTCATTCTACATGTGTTTGCATAAATTCAGCATCTGTTTTCCAGAAATCATTTTTGTGCTGATTTTATTTGAAAATGTTTGTGGTCTTGCTCTGTATTCTTACACATATTTTCTCTCAACAGAGTTTGCACTTAGGATAGTGAATGCTCCACTGGCCTTAGATTTAGCATTTGGCATACTGTGTGAGCTGCTCCAGCGGTGGGGGGAGATCCATGCTGGTGTGCTGATCCTGCTGGAATGGCTGCTGGGAGATAGCGACCTGAAAAGAGATTCGGAGACTTCAGCCCTGGTAATTTTAACAACCAGTTGCTATATCATGTTGGAAGCACTGCATTTCTACAGTCTTGTGGTAGGAATGGAATGTAACATCTCATTTGATGAGGCCTGATGATCACTACTGCAGTATTAACTGATTTACAGTTTAAAAAAAAAATGCACGTGGGTAATATTTAGAATAAAAATAGAGCTTGATACCTGTTTCCTGGCAATATCAGCATAAAATTAAAGAGATCAATAAGCAAACATTGAAATAAACCAAGAGTTACTTCACAAGACATTGTTGACTGAAATGTATTATTGCAGATGATGGCTTGCCTTGAATTTAATCTGCTGCTGTGGGTGCCAGGCACATCTGGTGTTCAAGAAAAGTGCTCTCCCAACTGCTGGCTTTTCCAGAGTTGGCATTTAAATATTTGGTAACTTTATGCCATCTTACGTACGATTGGTTCTGCACAGCACATGAAACAGCCTTGCTTACATCAGTTACTGTCTTCAGAAGGATTATTTCTGTAAAGAAAAACTTTGCCATGCTGGTTCTGTAAAGCGTAATACTATATAATACGCTGTGCTCTTTTTGTCTTGAAAAGACTGTAAAAATCAAAATGCTGGAAGGTAAACCGGAAGGAGCAGGACCAGCTACATCTTTGAGAAGTTTCTTGACAATTAATATGACCCATGAAATATATTATGGACCTTTTTTTAAGCCTGTGGTTTAGGTATGCCTTTCTAAGTTTCACTGACTGATACAATTTTCCTTTTTCATTTAATCCACTCAAAAAGCACCATGATATAGCAAATTACCATACTGGTTACAGAGAGGTCTCTGTGAAATATAAGACTGTTTCAAGCACATGTTAAGGATTAGGACTACTATTTACTTCCACTGTTTCCCAAGGCTTGTACCATAACTGCCTGATTTTTGAAGGTAAAATTTCTTTGACAAAGTAGTTCCCAAACCTTTAAAAAATGCATGTGAATTTTTACCTTCTTTTTAATATAAAGAAGTGGTTCTGTGACACCTGTTTCTGTATATATCCTCTTTTGTATCTTTTATGATTTTCTCATTATTATGAAACCACAAGTCATTTCCTAATCACTGTTGGTTTTCTTTTTGTTAAGGAAGAAGATGATTATCTGTTTGATAAAGGAGAAGTGAATTTTTGGGCAGAGAAGTTGACTCATGTTAGACAACTGAGTAAGCACCTTTTACAGCTCATATCAATGACTCATCTAACGTTACCACATCAGGGAGAACTGAAGCGACTATCAATAACAGCACTGGACCAAGCCCAGCTCGTTGAACACCACCTTCAAGCACTGCCTCCAGCTCCAGAATTTTCCAAAACTGCAGAATTCACAAGATTGGCTATTCAAAATGAGAGAATATTGCTCTGTCTTAAAATACTGAATCTACTGAAGTCTGATGATACTTGCAAAAATGAAAATCTGGAAAAGTATGTTACTAAAAGTTCATCCTCAGGGAACACGGACACATTCTCTCAGGGAGACTGAATTCCAGCGATGTTCAAGGAATCAGGATGACTCCAGTAAATCTGCAACAAACTGTTCAGTATTCAGGCTAAAACTACATTTTTATATATGAGTCCATGGATTCATTTCTTTTTACCAGATGTGCTGTGGGAGACTGTTCCTTTTAAATGCATTTGCTAATTTCATTCAGCTGAGCATTGTTTATTACAACCACTGTAGGAAGTAAAGCAGGTAAACCTAATATTTTCCATTCATCCAGGTGCAGGCCACCTGTAGTTCTCTTACATTTTATCCCATATTTTACCTCCTGTATCTTAGTACCAAGAAAAGGTGTATTATTTTGGTCTCCTTACAAAATGTAGCATGTTAATTATTAAATTAATATGCTATTTTTAAGTGTTTCTAAAAGAAAAGGAACAAACTGTGACTTTTTTGTTCATGGCAATTTTTAGAGTATATTTCAAATTTTACTGTCTTTTCCTCTGGAGGAAGGCAAGGATTTTCACTTTGGTAGTAACCTTGTTTCGCACATGGAAACAGCATTAGTTAGACTTCTGCATGCCTCTTTTTTCCTTTAAATCAAATAATTACGTTCATAAAATGGCTCTAAAATGAAGACCACTGGGTTCAGAACAAAGCAGCTGTTCCATTGCGAACAAAACAGTTTCATCTTTACTTCAAAACCCCTTGTTCCGCAAGCAGGCCTGGAAAGGAAGGTCCTGCTGAGTAGTGTGAGGCCCCTCTGAAGCTACCAGAGGTGTTTCTGTGCTCCAGCCCTTGCTTTTGAGAGATGCTCTCACCAGCACTCAGGCGGGGCGGCTGTGGGGACTGTTCTGAGTGCTTCGTGGTGATGCTGTGTCTGAAACACAAACATGCTTGTTGTGCGTTGAAATGTATTTTTCTGGGAACTGAAACTGGGTTTCAGTATGTAAACGAGACATCGAAAATAAATATTGATCTGAAAAGGTTGCGTTACCTTCCTGTAGCCAAGGGCTGTGACTGGCTGTAGCATGGCCGGGCCCCCCACAGTATGGATATGCGTCCCTGTATGCTGTCATTTCGGTCTCCTAGGGAGAAGAATATGTCCAGTGAACGACTGTTTCCTTTCAGCCTCCTCACCTGATTGTGTGTGAGCAGAGTTTGGCCCGTAAATGTCGATGACGCGCAGGTGAGGGGTGAGTGTTGCGGCTCAAGGCCCGCAGGTGGCGCCGCGGCACCGCCGTACGCGGGATGGGCCCGTTCCCTGAGAGCCGGGCCGGGCTCAGCCTGGGCAGGGTCGGGTTCCCTTAGTGCCGGCGTCGGGCTCAGCCCGGGTAGGCTCAGCCTTGGGCCGGCGCCGCTCGCAGTGGCTGCGTGCTGCGGTGCCTGCTGATAGCCGATTGCTGCCCTCTCCTTGAGTTCAAATAGAATCTGCTGTAAATCGAGCTAAGCTGCTGACTTGGATCTAATGGACATCTGAACACTGCAAAGTCACTACTGAAAAAAAAGATAACAAGTAGTGGCTGTAAGTTTCCAGGATTTGGGGTTACTTATATAAGTAATTTATGATGAAACTTGAGGCTTCAATAGGCAAAAGGGAAATGTTGGAATCTGAAATGATGTTTCACAGAATGCCCACTACCCAGCTTAATGAGCCACGGTGCAAGTTAGGCTAAAAATTAATTCGTTTGCATCTGGTTTGAGCTCCTGGAGAAGGAACAGCCCAGATTATGTCTGGAAGCCACTCTTAAAAAATAGTCAAGACCTGTACAATTAATTAAAAGCTAGCTGCTGGTTTTGCCACATCTTTCCATAATTTCTGAACTAGTGTGGCAACAGCTTTTAATAGTAAGAGACAAAACCAACTTTGTACATATCAGTTGTGTAACCTTGCTCATGTCAGGGGGTAGCACAAGATGATCTCTTAACATTGGCTTTTTATTTTTTTTTAACGGGGTAGAATTAAAAATGCATATAGATATGTATTTAATACTGGCAAATGAGTAAATGCAGAGAGGTAACAGCATAGTAGTAGACCCAAAGTGACCATAAAACTTAAGTAATTTGGTGAAGCCTTGATGACTTGGTTAATCAGTAACCAAATAGCTCAAAAACTCGGTCTTCCTTATCGTGGTGTTAAGATGCAACTGGAACCTCTGTCATCCCGCCTCCGTTTATAGAGAGCAAATAAGAATTATATCAGTGCACATACATTTCACCACACAGTGCTAGTGGCTTGTGTTACTGTGTAACTACTCAATGAAGAACCTTTAAACCCTGTGCAGCGATTGCAGGAGAAGGGTTAGCAAAGCGTGATGCCAGAGCGCTTATCGGCCGTGTATTTGATCAAAGTCAGTTTATCAAAGTATTCCTCCCAATGGCGATGACACATTGATCCGTGCATGACTGTCATCGTAAATTGTACTCTCGGTTGGCTGGCGGGCAGGATCTGCTGCGAGGTGATGTCTCCCTGGCAGAGATGTGTGGGAGGGTCAGTGCGCAGGCAACTCCGACCGGCCCAGGAGGAGGTTATGGGAAGGGATGCACGTTATCCCGCCCGTCCGCGGCATTCCCGCGCCCCGGAGGCTCCCCGGGTGCGGGGCAGGGCCTGTCGCCGGGTCGGGAGCCGTCACCCCCCGGCAGAACGGGAGGAGGGGAAGAGGCAGGAACGTGGGATCTGTCCCGGCACTCCTGGGCGGAGGAGCCGCTGCCGGCAGGCTCGGCGGCCGCGAGGGGGCACCATGAGCCCGTCAGCCGCGCGGGCAGCGGGAGGGGCCGGGAACGGGGGAGCAAGGCCGGGAATGGGGCCGTGAGCGGGGCCAGCCGAGCCGCGTCCAGCAGCAACACCCGCCGAGGGGGGGACGGGCCCCAGCAAACGGCTAGGACACGGGAAGGAGCGAGGTTTGGGCTTTCCGCCCCCCCAGCTCCTCGTCTTTCCCCGGGGGATTTTCGATCTCCGCGGCCGGGCCCGTCCCGCCGTGGGTGACGGCTCGCGGGCAGCGCCCGTCCGGGCGGCCAGGGGGGCGCCCCACGGGGGCCGCCTGCAGCCCCCCCTCAGCAGCCGCGTGGGAGGAGGAGGAGGAGGAGGAGGAGGAGGGGAGGAAGCAAACGGGCGAGGGAGCCGCGTGGCGGAGGGAGTCGAGTCTGAAACCCCGCAGCGAGGGGTTCTAATGACCCCCCCCCTCCTCCTCTCCCCACCCCGCCGAAGTTTCTTTGCTTTGCAAATGTGTTTTCCCAGCGCCGCGCTCTTGCTGACGTGGTCAGGTTTGCACGCTTGGATCTCGCGGGCCTGACATTCCTGCTCGGAAGCTAAAGACGATCAAACACTTCTGCTGGCTTTAGCAGCCATAAAACTTTACACGTTTGCCCGTCTGTGTTCTCCTTCCCATTTGTCCCGGGGCCGAACAAACGCGGGAGGGGACGGGGTGGGGGGTGCAGAGGAGCCGCCGCCGCCTTTCACAAAGTCATGTTTGCGCGGCCTTATCGGCGCGGGGGGGGGGCGGGGGTGTTTTGGACGGCGGCCGGGCCCGTCCCGGGAGGGAGCCCCGTCACAGGGGGGAGCCCCGCTGCGCGCACCGGCCGCTGCCTCCGCCCGCGGGGGGCACCGGGGGCGGCGGGGGGGAGGTGCGGCGGGTCACAGGACCTCGGCGGGGGGTGAGAAGTGAAGGGGGCAAGCGTGGGAGGGAGACGGGGGAGGGGTGCAGGGCGCGGGCGGAGAGAAATGCTTAGATGGGGTTGGGTGGGGGTCGTGTATCAGCCCGGGCGGTGGCGGCGTTAACCCTGCCTCGCATCCGCGCCTGCAAGCCAACTTCTCCTAAACTCCAAACAGAAAGAAAAACAAAAAATAAGCACCAAACACGAGGTCCCCGAAAAGAAGGGAGAAGCGGCGGGGCGGGCCGCCCTTGCCCAGCCCCGTCCCGCCGGCCGCATCGGGGCAGCGCGGACCCGACCTTTGTTTCAAACCAATTACGTGGCATAAGTTAGTTCTCGGCGGGGCTGGGGGAAGAAGTGTCCCCGGCGCTGCCGCGCCCCTCCCGCGGCACCGCGCACCGTCCGCTCCGCGGCAGCCGCGGCCGCCGAGCGCGGGCGGCTCCCGGACCGCTGGCGGGGGTTGGAGCAACGCGAGGGCGCCGGGTCTTTGGAGAGGGACGCGAAGAGGGGCGCTGCGCGGGGGCCAAGCCCGCAGGGCACGGTGAGCGCTGCCTCGGCTGTTTCCCCGCTGCTTCCGCCCCGTCCTACCCGGGCTGCCACCACAGCAGGCACACCTGGCTCGGGGTACCGGGGGCTGACTGCGAGGCACTCCCTACCCTCCAACCTGCTCAGCCACCGCTGCCGGCGCCCTCTGCCAAACTCAGGGCGGCCCGGCCGGCGGGCTGGGGCGGGGCGGGCCCAGCGGGCGGCGCGGGGCGGGCGGAGCGGGGCACCGCCCCCGCGGGCCGCGGGCAGCCGCGTTTATATGGGGGCGGCGCGGGGCGCCGCGGAGTTCCCGCAGTTCGCCCGCTGCTGTGCAGCCGCCGTCGCCGTCTCGGCCCGGCACCCGCCGTCCCGCCGGGAAGGAGTCGGGACCGTTTCGGATCTCAAGCAGACGGTCCCCTCCTATCTAGTCGTGGCTTTTCCAAACCCTCCGAGGACAGCGGGATCATTCGGTCCTTCCTGTATTTCCGACCATTACAGGATCTAGAAATGTCGACGACACTTTTATCTGCCTTCTACGACATTGACTTCTTGTGTAAGGTAGGGAAGAGCGTGCTTACCCAGGCGGGATCTGGGCTGGCAATGCCGGGGGGTGCGGGGCGACTCTACGGGCTGCTGGGGCTGGGGCACCGCGGCGGGGCGGGAGGCCGGGCCGGGCTGGGCCGTGCGGGCGGGTCGCGATCTGACAGCCGGCCGGGGGCCTGGCGCAAGGCTGCGAGCCCCGGAATGCCGCCTCGTGGCCTCCCGGCGGCCGCGTTCGGGGCGGGCTGGTCTGCAGCCGTGGGGGTGCCGGGCCGCCCCGCAGCGCCTACCCGCGTGTTGCGCTGCCGGGAGAAACTTTTGAAAAAAGTTGCAGATGCAGCAGAGCCGGTGAAGGAGCTTCTCCCCGGCCCTGCCCTGCCCTGCCCTGCAGGCGCTGGCAGCGGACGCGCTTTGCGGGCCGGTCGGGCGGCGCGACCCCCGCCCCGACTGCCGCGGCGCGCCTGGGGCGGCGTGGGGAGCCGCGGCGGTGGGCAGGCGGTCACCCGCAACACTCTCTCTCTCCCGCTGTCTCCCCCACCCCCTTCCCTCTCCCCGCCCCGGCAGACGGAGAAGTCCCTGACCAACCTAAGCAGCATGCTGGATAAGAAAGCCGTGGGGACCCCGGTGACCCCTCCCAGCTCCAGCTTCGCGCCGGGCTTTCTACGGCGGCACTCGACCAGCAACCTGACGGCGCTGGCCGGCGGCTCCAAGTTCCCCAGCCCCACCGGCTCCAGCTCTTCCTCCACCTCCTCCTCCTCTTCCTCCTCCTCCTCTTCGTTCGGCAGCCTGAAGGAGACGGGCTCCGGCGGAGGCGGCGGCGGCGGCAGCAGCAGCCCCACGGCCCTGCTCAACAAGGAGAACAAGTTCCGGGACCGCTCCTTCAGCGAGAACGGCGAGCGCAGCCAGCACCTCATGCAGCAGCTCCAGCAGCAGCAGCAGGCGGCTGGCAAAGGGGGCGGCTCCGGCGGCGGCGGGGCCCCCATCAACTCGACGCGCTACAAGACGGAGCTGTGCCGCCCCTTCGAGGAGAGCGGCGCCTGCAAATACGGCGAGAAGTGCCAGTTCGCCCACGGCTTCCACGAGCTGCGCAGCCTCACCCGCCACCCCAAGTACAAGACCGAGCTCTGCCGCACCTTCCACACCATCGGCTTCTGCCCCTACGGCCCGCGCTGCCACTTCATCCACAACGCCGACGAGCGCCGCCCGGCGCCCGGTGGGGGCACGGCCGCCCCCCCGCCCGCCGCCGCGGCCGGGCCGCACCATCACCCGCACCACCCGCCCCCGCACCCCGCCGGCAGCACCGGCGACCTCCGCGCCTTCGCCCCCCGCGACCACCCGCTGGGCGGCGGCGGCTTCGGGCACCCGCGCGGCGGCGGCGAGCGGCCCAAGCTGCACCACAGCCTGAGCTTCTCCGGCTTCTCCGCCCACCACCACCACCACCACCCCCCGCACCCCCACGGCGCCCCCCCGCCGCCGCCGCCGCCCGGCGGCCGCCTGGACGCCGCCCTGCTGGAGAGCCCCGGCGGGTCGCGCACGCCGCCGCCGCCCGCCTCCGCCTCCTACTGCGAGGAGCTGCTCTCGCCGCCATGCGCCAACAACGCCTTCGCCTTCTCGGGGCAGGAGCTGGGCAGCCTCATCGCTCCCCTCGCCCTGCACACCCAGAACTTCGCCGCTGCCGCCGCCGCCGCCGCCGCCGCCGCCGCCTACTACCGCTGCCAGCAGCAGCCGCCGCCGCCCGGCGGGGGCTGCCCGCCGCCCCCCGCCTCGCCGCCCTTCAGCTTCCAGCCCCTCCGCCGCCTCTCCGAGTCGCCCGTCTTCGACGCGCCGCCCAGCCCGCCGGACTCGCTCTCCGATCGGGAGAGCTACCTGAGCGGCTCCCTCAGCTCCGGCTCCCTCAGCGGCTCCGAGTCACCCAGCCTGGACTCGGGCCGCCGCCTGCCCATCTTCAGCCGCCTCTCCATCTCCGACGATTGAGGGGGGACGGGAGACCGGCCGGGGGGGCCCCGCGGCGGCCCTGCAAGTAAGTGACCGAAGAAAGCGAAACCTCTCCTTCTTCTCTATTTTTTTGGTGGTTTTTTTTATATGTATCTGTCTATCTACACCGAGAGTTGAACAAAACGAGAAACAAAGCATTTTGCAAAAGGGCAAATGACACGAACTGAACAAACCTATTTTTATAGAGAGACCTTGGAAGAAGGGGATTTTTGTTTCGGGGTTTTTTTGTTGTTCTTTGGAGACAAGTTATGATACGCACCAGCAGCAGCCATTCCATCTGTGTTAAAAAAAAAAAACCAACAAACTAGCATTAGAAAAGACACCACCAGAAAGCAACAAACAATCTGGGGAGCGCCGGTTCTGCCTGCCCAGCTCCTCCAAACCTGCAGACACACAGAAAAAGAAGTTACAAACTAGTTTGTGTTTCAATCCAGTTGAAATAAAAACACAGAACATACTAAACCTATAAGCTTTTTTTTTTTTAGAAAAAAAAAGAATCCAACATCCTGCCAAGAATATGCCTTGATAACAACCTTTTTTATATATCTATATATTATTATTATAACAAATGCTAAAACCTTCATTCCAAAGTTTAATATTGGTTCCATTGCCACCACTTAGTGGATGTTTGGCTTAGAACAATTTTTTGTTGTTGCTTTATTTGGAAGCACTCAACTGAGTTTAGTTTGTAATTGTTGGAGAATAACTGCTGATTTTTTTAAAATTTTTTTTAGCTGTTTGAGTTGATTGCATGAATGAGTTCACTGCACACAACTCAATATGAAATTATTTAACTTATTTATTATCTTGTGAAAAGTATACATTGGTAATTTGTTCATACTGTATTTATCGGGTATGATGAAAAGCAATAGATATATATTCTTTTATTATGTTTAAATTATGATTTTCATTATTAATCGGCGAAATGTGGAGTGTGTTCTTTTCACAGTAATATATGCCTTTTTGTAACTTCACTTGGTTATTTTATTGTAAATGAGTAAAATTCTTAATTTAAGAGATTGTATGTAATATTTATTTCATTAATTTCTTTCCTTGTTTACGTAAATCTGAAAGATTGCATGGTTTCTTTATAGAAATCGGTCTCGATGCTGTGGAAGTAGTTTGAGGAATTTCTATGGGTTTTTTAGAATGTAAATGGTTGTAGCCCGTCCGAGTTGAAAAACAAACTAGAGAAGAAAAAAAAAAAGCAGAAAAAAAGACTGCCTTAGCAATCAGACTTCAAAGTGGCAAATCTAATTCATACTTGTTTAAAATAACCAAAAAGTATTTTTGTTGCCTAACTCCACCAATCACACTGTGATATAGTCTCAAAGTATGTAGCAATAATTGGGGGTCCCAGTATTATGTCTCACAGTGCCTTTTTGAGGGTCCATGCTTGCCTTAAATATTTCTCAACCAAATAAGTATTTTTCTTAATGCTTGAGATAATTTGAATGTAGGGATGGGTTTTAACTACAGCAAAATTTCGCCACTCTTTTATAAGAATGGAGGCCATCTTTGGATCTGAAACTTTATACAGTACATAAACATATCTTGTTTAATTGAATTCCAAAATTTGTAATTTTTTTTTCCTAATGTAGAAAGTTGGGAGTTTTCCAAAACTTTCCTGGACGGTGGATGAATGAGCAGTAGTTTA